AGCAGGAAAAATATATTCTGAACTCCAGTACAGCTGAGTCCATGACCTTCAGATTTATTCTGGTGAGAAGGGAGAAGCAAGGGAAAAAAGGTTTTGAAGAAGGTAGATTAATTTTGGTTCTTCCTGTTTGGTAGAGTCAGAAAATGTGTTTAGGGAGACAGCTTTCAGTAGATAGGAACCAAGTATAGGTTTAAAGGGAGGAAGTTGGGAGTAGTGATCTGATGGCCTCTAATGGCAGAGTGGCAGAACAGTATCACTGTGCTCAGTTGACCCATCAGTAGAAGTTCTATGTTTTTTGTACTGAATTAATGCATCCTGCTTTGTTTGGGATGACACAGGTTGGCAAGGCAAAAGACAGACAGGGCTCAGAAGTTCTTTATAGCTAGTGATCGCATTATAAGGTCCTCTGGTGAGTTTTTTAAGGTTTACAAATTAGTGGGACCAGCAGGTGGCGTGGTAGTTGAGGCATTGGATACTCCCACGTGAGTGACCATGGTTTGAGTCCTGGACCTGGTGGCTTGCTTTCTGTCTGTCTTTCTCTCTCTCTTTCTCTGGTCAAATTAAAATAAATGAACGAATAAATAAAATTAAACAATTATTTTTAAAAATTTACAAATTAGTATTTTTCTCAGTAGGAGTTCAACTATTGCAGAGGATAGATATACTAGAGCAGAGTTTTATTTGTATTAATTTATATTAGCATGTATTAAACACGTCAATGCTTTACTAAGGCAACGTTCACTTTGATTTTTAGCCCTTAGAGATTTATTCGATTCCATGGATAAAACTTCTTCTAGTATTCCACCTATTATTCTACTGCAGTTTTTGCACATGGCTTTCCCACAGTTTGCGGAGAAGGGTGAACAAGGACAATATCTCCAACAGGTAATCAGAGGGAGTTCTTTTTCATTCTGTAAATGTAAAATGTAGTTTCCTACATTTACTTTACTTTTTGGAACATGTTTGGAAATACAAATATGAGTACGCTGTTCACACACCACCATTCTCTTGTATTAAGTGGTGCAGTCATCTGTTATTTGATATCTTATTTCTGCTTTTGCTCTTCTGAAGTGTTACTCAGCACAACCCCTTGTGTCCTCTTAAAAATGTAAATAAGTGGGACAGCAGGTGGCATGGTGGTTAGGGTACTGAACCCCACCCCCCCATGGCCAACCATGATTAGAATTCTGGACCTGGTGGCTTAAAGATTGCTCTGGATGTGTGTGTGTGGGTGCCCAAAATACCAGGAAGAGAAGAGATGGCAGTGTGGCCATTTCCTCTGGGGGAGGGGGGTGATTTTTCGCTTCCCCTCTCACTGTCTCTCTGTCTCTCAGTGGCAAGCGCATGTGCCCTATGGCCAAAAACCTACCAAAAAAAATGTAAATAGGCTGTGTTGGTCCCTTGTTCAGCACTCCCTAGTGATTTTCTGTTCTAGCTCTAAATCTACTGGTCCCAGGCTCCCATTCTGAGCTCATCATGCACCACTCTCTCCCTTGCTCTCTTTCTAACCCACCCTTTTGAGTGCCCTCTTCTTGTAGGGCCTTTGCTCTTGTTCTTTGGCTGTTGGGTAAGTGCATGGCTGGGTCCCTTACGTGCTTCAGGTCTCATAGCTTCCAGGGCTTTCTCTGACTGCTTTACTGAACTAGCACGTTTCTCTTCCTGGATCACCATCTGCTCCCCGTAATGCTTATTTTTCCTTCATAGTCTTTATCTCTATCTGAGTTTATATTTTTGTTATCTATGTTCTCTATTAGAACTATTTTTTCTTAACTACTATGTATTTTGAGTATTTGAATAGTGTTCAGCTCAACTTGAAGCTCAATAAATATCTGTTAAATTAATGAACTATTTTGGAATAAGTTATTGTATTGTATAAGTTGTATTGATTATATAAAATCTAATTTGGCTTAATATTTTTAAAGAAGAAAGCAGCTTTCTCTAAGGAAGCAGTAATTATTTTGGGAGGGTTTTAAAGACCACACACAGTCACTGCCAGCTTTACTTTCTGTGTCATTTTTAAATTACAGGATGCTAATGAGTGTTGGGTACAAATGATGCGAGTATTACAACAGAAATTGGAAGCCATAGAAGATGATTCTGTTAAAGAGGTAATTGAAATAGATCTGCAATGATAGATTTTCATTATATCTTGATTTTTTTCCCCACTAAAGCCTTAAAAAAATTCATTTTAATAGGTAGATATGTAATTTAATGCTGAAAACATTCATCATATAGTCAGATTTTCAAAGATTACATTTGTCATTTGAATTTATAATATAATTTATTAAATTTAATTCATCGACATTGCTGAGCAGCTGTGATCTTTTGGTAATGTTTTTTGAATAGTAGAAGGACTTTATAGAAGGGAGTACATTTTAAAAGTATAAATATGGGGACCAGCAGTTGGCGTAATGGCTATGTTGCTGGACTCCCATGTAGTCGACCGCGGTTCGAGTCCCGGATATGAAACTCACACTGGGCGTGTGTGTGTGTGTGTTTACCCAAGATCCCAAGAGGAGAATGGAGGAGAAGGGAGTGTGGCGCGGCCATCCCCCCTGGGGGGTGATTTTTCGCTTTCTGTCTCTCTGTCTCTCTCTTGTCTTTCTGGCAAGTTCATGTGCCCTATAGCAAAAACCTCTCAAAAAAAAAAAAAAGTGTAAATATGTGACCAGCAAGTGAAGTAATGATTATGTTGCTGGATTTTTACCTAGTCAACTGTGGTTTTGTGTCCCAGACCCAGTGGCTTGAAACTCATACTGGGTGCTTGTGTGTGCATGCCCAAAATCCCAAGAGGAGAAGGGGTACAGCATGGCTGTTCCCTCTGGGAGGTGATTTCTCACTTTCTATATGTCTCACCGTTGAGCACATGTACTCTATAGTAAAAAAATCTCTCTTAAAAAAAAAAAGAAGTGTAAATATATTTTACTAAACTGGAGTATATAGAAGGAAATGTACATTGGTATTTATATAAAATAAATTGGAATTTTAATTTTAATCTTTTCAGACAGATTCTTCATCTGCATCAGCAGTAACACCTTCTAAAAAGAAAAGTTTAATTGATCAGTTCTTCGGTGTTGAGTTTGAAACTACGTATCCTTAAGAGCCAAGATTTTTGTAGACTGTACTCTTAACTTACTAGAAGTAAATTGCATAGATAGCAGAGTTGGCTGATGGGTGTAATGGGTGGAACAGATGAAAAACTCTTCCAGAGATTTTTATGCCTAAAAACCGAAATAATGAAATTAGGAATTTGGAAAAATACAGCTATTTAAGTGATATTGAAGTTCAGATAAAAGGACACCTTAGGAATGTTGTTTTTTTTTTAAAGGCATCTTTAGCAAAACCTGCTTTATTAATTCACCTCATAGAGGTTTAATCTTTAATGGTAAGAAATAGAATATATCAACTAAGTTACATACATGAGATTGAACCAGTTCATAAAACATGAATTCAGGGATTTTCTATGTCATGACTGGAAACTTAGAAAAGACTTTTGTTTATGTGTCTTTGAGTTATTAAGATCATTTAATGACCAATGTAATTTACGTGTTTCGAATTTATTACAGTTTATCTTTGCTCATTACTCTTTGTTATTAATAGAGTTGTTGATAGGCAAGTGAATATTCTTAAATACATTTAACGAGTCTATTGGGAGAGCTAAATGTTTTACATACCAATGAAGCATACTGTTAATTTTAATAGCACTAGGATAATTTATCATATTCAAGGTTATGTAACAAATTGAATACCTGTTGCATATTCCTTATCATATTTTGTGAAGCATGAAATGCACAGAATCTGAAGAAGAAGAAGTCACCAAAGGAAAGGAAAATCAGCTTCAGCTTAGCTGTTTCATCAATCAGGAAGTCAAATACCTTTTTACAGGACTTAAACTGGTAAGGACAATCACAGTTGATTTCCAGTATTTATGGATTCTGTATTTATGCATGGACTTACTATACTAGATCAATTTATTCGTAACCCCAAAGTCGGCACTTGGCTGTCCTTTAATGGTCATTTGCAGACATTCATGGAATTGGATAAATTTTGACTTGTCTGATACACAGGGTCCTAGCTACAGTCCAATAAGGCAGTACTCGGTCGTATTTCAGCTCACATACTATAAACAAATGTCCCTTCTGCATGAATCTCAGTGCCAAGTTTTCTCGTTTTTGTGCTTTTCTGTTAGTGATGTTGCTCTTATAATGCACCTCTAAGTATAGCGCTGAAGTGCTGTGTAGTGTTCCTAAGTGCAAAAAAACCATAATGTGCTTACCCGAGAAATGCACATGTCAAAGAAGTTTATTTAGGCAAGATTTATGGTGCTGTTGGCTGCTGTCATTCATTTAATGTTAATGAATCAACGCCATATATAAAACAGTGTTTTTAAACAGAAACGAATGTAAAATAAGGTTATGTGTTGATTGGTTGAGAAAATGTAGCCAGAAGCTTACAGGAACCTAACCTTGTATTCCCCCTCAGAGCTGTGGTTTAATATTTGCTAATTTAGTGTGTATGGTGACGATGTGGAATATAACTATTATACTGTGAGTAATCACTGGTATATTTCAGAAATCAATCTTAAATTTGTGCTTTATTGAGTGCTTTATTTTTAAGTACTCAGTAAATGTTGAGTAGGAAGAGATTTAATTTTTTCTTACAGATAGCTGTTTCCATGGGTCCTATACATTACTTAGAATATACTTAGAATATTAAGTATAAGAAAAGTTACTTAGTCTGTCTAAACTTCTATTTTCTTACATGGAAATGAGAATATTAGAGGGTTGGTGGTGTTAGTTAAATGAGATTTGTGTAAAAACTCTTAACTGCCAATCCCTGCTCTCAACCTTTGAGGGTGACCATATAATTTATTGCCTAAATAAGAACACTTTGGAGGGTAAATGAGGGTGTACTGATAATGATGAGGTAGATACAGGGATTGTACTGTGCAGAACAGGATAGATAGTTGTTCTGCCTTGGCGCTGTCCTGCAATTAAGGCCCTAGAATTTAAATAACTGTATTGGTTTATGGTAGAGTTAGCACTAGAACCACTTTTGTTATTCCATTAGTATTCTTTCCTCAGTGCATACTGAAGAACGCACATGCTCACATAAAACGTATGTTTCCACTCCGCTAATGAGCAAATTAGTAAAATATTACAGTTGCTTGCTGCCATATTAATCTTGGTGCCATGGTTTTGGGTAATATGTATATCTCTTGAAGGATCTTTCAGATTGTAAATCATGAGATTCTGCTGACTTTCAAAGGCACTAATAATTGGGATTGAAAAAAAAAAGTTAGCCATTGTTAACATCTAGATATTTGAAGGAGGGCTTTGAGAGCAGAATATAATAGAATTCTGGTCATTCCTCTATGTTCTCTCTACTAGCCATGACCAATAAGGAGAGGTCTTTAAGGAAGACATAGTGAAGCAAAATCACAACCTGATGAAATAATTGAACAGGGCCTTATACAGAGGACTAGCTGGGACAGGAGGAGGTTGAGAATGAAGTAGGGGGGAGTTACACTGGTAAAGAAGATGATTGGTTATCAGAAAGTTTCCATCTACAGTTTGGGGCAAGATTGGTGTGGGGAAGAGTTGGTAAATGAAGGCATGGGAAGAAGAGAAACTGATGACCTTTGTCTTGTGATACTGAGGGCAGAGTTGTGGTAAGGTATGGGTATGTGGGTGTTGTTATGGCTTTTAAGAGAAGTTCACTTAAAAGCACACAAAAACTAGCTAACTACCTAGAGTCCCATCATGTAAATCATGATATACAAATTTCACAGCATCAAAAGATGAAGTATAAGTGTTTATTGGAGAGTGTGGAATGCAGTGTTTTGGCAGGGAACTCTCCAGGATATTTTCTTCGTAATAGTGTAAAACTGAATATACTTGGAAGTTTAGATAATAGTGGATTGGCGATAATACGTATAACTTACGTGATGAATAACATTGCACCAGATACACCTTTCTGAAAAACAAATAGTCCTGAAATGTAGTTATGTTCATTATAATTTTTAAGATGCTTCATCATCATTTGTTTTGATTATTCTTGAATCATTTGGCTCCTTGTTTCTCTATCTCTGATACCAAGAAAACTTGGTTAAATTTTTAAAAAGCTAGTCCACAGTGATTCTTTTTATAATAAGATTAGTAATTTTTAAAAATCAAACTTAAAAAAATTATTACACAGGGTCATGGTGGTTACAGCCCTGGACTCCCATGTGACTAACTGGTCAGAGTCCCAGATCTGGTGGCTTGCTTTCTCACTTTGTCTTTCTCTTTCTGTTCCTATCTGGTCAAATTTAAATAAATAATAAAATAAATAATTCTTAAAAATATTACTATATAAAAATAGCACTCTTATAGTAAACATTTAACAGGAAGCTGTTTTAATTTTGATATCTTTATTTTCTTAAAGCAGAGCAGATTAGTAGCGTTATATTTTTTAAAAACAATAGAAATAGTAACTGATGATTATTGAACATAGAGTATATGCCAGATACTTTCCCAGGTTTTCTGTACACAATTCCTGTGTAATTCTAGCATCAGCACTGTAATGTAGATACTGTCACTGCCTTCTACAGATGATGCCCAGTGGAGACAAATACCTTGCTTGGTGTCACACAGGCTGTGAGAAGTGGAGAAATAATCAAGATGGTTAAGACACAGGCAACAATAGCCAAGGGCTTTGCAACATCTATTAGATTAATAGAGGTGCTCTGTTATGACTTCTCTCAAACTGAACAATAATAGGGCTGGAAGGCTCTTATACATATAGCATGAAGAACAAGTGTTTTCTAAATTCTCTTTATTTTCCTCTAGTATGAATGTTCTGATTTGTTATATAAAAATACAACATAAAATTTTAGACATGAGCCACATTTGGATCATAACTGAAAAGCTTCACTATTTACAGAGTTCACACCAGTAAAATATTTGATCCCAAGAATTGAATAGTCTTTTAAAGCCATCTCATACTATTTTCATTCAGATTCTCAATGATATAAATCCATTGACATGTACTTACATGCAGTCTATTAAGTAGTGCTAATTTTCTTTTTAAAGAAATTTTTATCATTACTATTTTTTTTCACATGAGTTCACCAGAGGAAAAGAGAGACTGAAAACAAGCTGCCAGGTCCAGAACTCAAACTATAGTCGACCATGTGGGAAGTCCAGTGCCTCAACCACCACGCCATCTGGTGGCTCCTAAGTAGTGCTATTTTTAAAAGAATCAGAGGTGCAGGAAAAAAAATTCCTTAAAACTAACATTTGGTCTTTATGTTCTTTTTTTAGAGACTTCAGGAAGAAATCACTAAACAGTCTCCAACATTGCAAAGAAATGCTTTGTATATCAAATCTGTAAGTTGTGTAGTTCTTTTGTAAATCAAATTTCATTTCATTGAAAGCTTTCTGGTTGATTAATTGATTATTTAAAATTTTTTTAGCCACTAAGGGATTAAAAACTTGTGTGGTATTTGGATGTAATAGAATTTCTTTCCATTTTCTCTCCTCAGTCCAAGATTAGCCGGCTACCTGCTTATTTGACTATTCAGATGGTTCGATTTTTCTATAAAGAGAAGGAATCTGTGAATGCCAAAGTTCTTAAGGTTAGTAATAAATTTCAGTTTACATATAAGGTAGAATTCTTTGAAGGCAGTCCCTAGCTTAGAGTAGACTTTTTTTATTCCTTTAGAGATAGTTAAGCTTTCTTTGGAATATTGAGGGGTGTTATTAACATTAAGCAAGTGAGGGACCAGCAGTTAGCGTAATAGCTATGTTGCTGGACTCCCACGTAGTTGACCGTGGTTCGAGTCCCAGACCTGGTGGTTTAAATTCACGCCGGGCGCGTGTGCCCTCTCCAAAAAAAAAAAATTTATTAAGCAAGTGATTCTTAACCAAGAATGTGTACTGGAATGATCTGTTTTTTGCTTTATTTTGAAATTATGCATATGCCAGATTTCTGTCCTTTGTCCCAAATATCTGATTATGTCTTAGGTTGAGCCTCAGGTCTTATATTTTTTCAAAACGTTAAGATAATTCTGAGGGACCAGCAGTTGGCGTAATAGCTATGTCTCTTGACTCTCATGTACATCGACTGCGGTTCAAGTCCCGGACTGGGTGGCTTAAACTCATGTTGGGCGTGTGTGTGTGTGCGTGCCCAAGATCCTGACAGGAGAAGGGATTGTGGCGTGGCCATCCCCTCTGGGGGGTGATTTCTCGCTTTCTGTCTCTCTGTCTTTCTGGTGAGTGCATGCGCTCTATAGCAAAAACATCTCCCTCCCCCCAAAAAAAGACAGTTCTGATTGGGTACTAGCAGGTGGCGTGGATGGACATGGCTGACCATGGTTCATGTCCCAGCCTTGGTGACTTGCTTTCTCACTTTCTCTCTACTCTGTCCCTCTTAGGTCAAATTGAAATAATTAAAGTTTTATCAAATAATTCTTTAAAAAAAAAAAAAAAAGGTAATTCTGATGGCTCTCCTGCATTTCCCAGAAACACTGCCCTAGATAGATCTTCAACTTCAGAGATACTGAAGCAGTAGGTTAGGGGATGCGAGTGAGACAGAGGACAGTAAAACATATTGTAATATACTCTAGATGTTTCCTTTCTTTCAGGTGAGAGAGACTTAAATCCCTGTTACTCAGGCTGTACTTGAATTGTAATCCCTTGATTGAGGAGCCAGCCTTATGATTTTTAACTGTTTCTGTTGAGTTATATATTTATAGAGTCCCTGTCCTTGGAAAAGGTATATCATTATAGCTATTAATACTTGCACTGAAATTCATAATACATTTTCCAATATACTTAGTATAAAATGAAAAGATTCACTGTGGTTTAAGTATCTAAGTGTTTCCTTCAAGTTATTGGACTTTATCACTATTGTTGCTATGTAAAATTGTATTAAAAATTGTCAATTGCTGCCATTATTGGCGATCCATTATTTTCTTTTTTTAAATTACTTTATTTAATTTTATTCTTCATAATCATTATTATTATTTTAGTTGAACAGAGTGAGAAATTGAGAAAGGAAGCTGCCAGGTCCGGGACTTGAACCATCAGCCACGTGGGAGTCCAGCTCCTTAACCACCATGCCACCTGCCGGCCCCAAGATCTATTATTTTCACAGCAACTTGTCTGATATATTTTAACCCTTCTCCTATCATGCAAATTTTGGTTACTTCCTCTGTGTTCAGTTTTATGGTTTAGAATGCTTAATGGAAAAACATGTTTTGAAACTTCTTACCTTTGTAGAGTTAGAATCAGATCATTCTTGAATATAAGCACTAAGATATTTTCAACTGCACACCTTTCCAATTCTGTTTACACAGTTTTCCATTTTGTGTATAGGATGTTAAATTTCCTCTTATGTTGGATGTGTACGAACTATGTACGCCAGAACTTCAAGAGAAAATGGTCTCTTTTCGATCAAAATTTAAGGATTTAGAAGACAAAAAAGTGAATCAGCAGCCAAATACAGTAAGTTCTTACTGTGACTTTTGCAATTTTTTTTTTCTTTTTCGTGCTTTTGTTATAGGGCATATGCACTCACCAGAGTGAGAGAAATGAGAAAGTGTCTGCCTGGGAGGGATGGCCACACACCCTTCTCTATTCTCCTGGTGGGCATGCACATACTCACACGCTCAGCTTTTAAACCACCAGTTCAAGGCTTAATCTGCATGGTTGGCCGTGTGGGATCTGGCTGCCTTACCCACCATACCACTAGCTGGCCCTTTTGCGGCTTTCTAATTTAATCTTTGATCTGTGCTCATCAGTTACTTTGTTAATAGTAAAAAGTGGACAAACCTATTTTTAGCATGTTGAGTGAATATTAAATATATTGGGGCAAATCTAATTTATTATTTATTTCATTTTATTTTAGATTTTTGTCATAGGGCATGTGCTCTTGCTGAAGAAAGACTAAGAGGGAATGTGAAAAATCACCCTCCCCCCCAGGAGAATTTGCCATATTGCAATCCCTTCTCTATTTTCTTGGGGTTTTGGACATGCATGCACACGCACCCAGCATGAGTTTCAGGTCTCCAGGTCAGGGACTTCAAGTGCAGTCAGCCAAGTGGGAATCCAAGGCCTTAACCACTATGCCACCTGCTGGCTCCAACCTAATTGCCTTTTTGTTGTAGGATCCTTTAACTTCTTGATGCCCTGCTGTTGTTAAACTGCTGGCATTGTTTTAATTACCATTACTGTTTTCAATAATTTTGTACTTTATGCCTAGATGAGTTAAGTTTTTCATATTACACACATGTAAGTAAATCGTGTCCCTTTTAATCTAAGACAGTTTTTGCTTAAGTAATATTTGTTCATTTGGGCTGAAGCGGTAGGTAGTCATGGCTTAGTAGTTTTAATATAAGTTGTAATAATTTGACTTTTTTTTTGAGATGTTTTTCTTTTTTTTAAAACTTGTGTGATTGGTAGTGTCTTAGTAAAATTATGATTTGGGTTTTTATTTTCTACCGTAGAGCACTGACTGTGTAACTGTACAGCTATCTTAACTGGTCTGTTGTATTCACCGATCATATTATCCAGGGAGTCTGTTACTGTACTGTAATAAGGTTGTATGTTGATAAAGTATAGGCCTTTGGGTTTACAACTTAATGTTAACTGTAATTATATCATTTTAGGAGTTTATAAGTATATTTTGCCTCACTACTTTGCATTGTGGATAGTAAATATTTGTGAAATTGAATATTGGCCAAGAATATAAATTTTATTTCCAGTATGATTAGTTCAAATTATTCTTTCCCTTAGAGTGACAAGAAGACTAGTCCCCAGAAAGAAGTTAAGTATGAACCTTTTTCGTTTGCTGATGGTAAGTGAAATTTTCATTTCAGATGAGTTATTGTGGTATATCTCTGTCTGTATGTGCGCACATGCACATGTTTTAAAAGTAAAAGTACTGTCTTGCCACGTGTTCAGATATTGTGCTTTTTTAAAAAGTAGTTGGGTTTTCTTTCTTTCTTTCTTTTTTTTTTTTAAAGGGAGATTTTTGCTATAGGGTGTGTGCATTTGTTGGAAAGATCAGGACAGAGATAGAAAGTGAGAAATTACTCCCCAGGGGGGATGGCCATGCCACAATCCCTTTTCTTCCTTTCTCCTCTCGGGATTTTGGGAATGCATGAACATGCACCCAGCGTGAGTTTAAGCCACTGGGTCTGGGACTCAAACTGTGTTTGACCACATGGGAGTCCAGCAACGTAACCCTTACGCCATCTGCTGGTTCTGAAAGTAGTTGGGTTTTCTTGAGGACTACTTTGCCTTAATATGACATACAGTAAAATCACTTTTTGTAGTGTATAGTTTTATGAGTAACACTTCCTCTCTCTCTCTCTTAGTTTTACAGTAGGGCACATGTGCTTGCTGGAGAGAGACAGAGCAAGAGAGAGGGGAAGTTAGTAATCACCCTATAGGGGATGGCCACACTGGAGTCTCTTCTCCATTTTTCTCTTGGGACTTTGGGCATGCACGTACACACGCACATGTGCCTGGTGTGATTTTTCAAGCTGCTAGGTTCTGGACTTGAGCTGCACAGTCAGCCATGTGGGTTCCTACCTCCTTAACCTCCATGCCACCTGCTGGCCCCAGAAACATACTTTTTAAATCTCATTTGTCTTTAACTCTGGATGGTTGTATCTGGACTCTTAACAAGTAGTGGTACTCTGATCTGAGCTTCAGTGTTATTTTTATTACCTAGCTTGAGAAAGTGCCTGTCTAGTCATTGTCTAATATTAATGGATTTATATCTTTCTATAGATATTGGCTCCAATAATTGTGGATACTATGACTTACAAGCAGTGCTAACACACCAGGGAAGGTCTAGTTCTTCAGGTCATTATGTATCATGGGTGAAAAGGAAACAAGGTAAAGTTTGTTTCTCAACTGTTAAATGCTGTTTTGACAGTTTATTATAAATTTTATATCATTGTGGCTTTCAAACATTTGGTCTCTGAATCCTCTTACAGTGAAGTCCCAAAGAGCTTGTGTTTATGAGTTTTGTATCTTTTAAGGTTTAGTATATTAGAAAATAAAAACAAGAAATTAAAAAAAATCTCTTTAAATGACAGTAACAAAACCCATTATATAGCCCCATTATTAAATAACATTCTTAAAATGCCATTTCCAAAACAAAAAACATGAGAAATGATATATTAATTTATATTTTTTAAGTATGTTATCTGGAACCTAAATTTTCATGTTTCTGTATTTAATCTGGTGCATTATCTATAATCATATAGCCTTTGGGAGATTTCAAAGTTCACTCAAGAGAATAGGGAGGAAAAGGTAATCATACTTTGGACGTATTACTGTAGTTGGAATCAGAGAACCCCTGAAATGGTCTTAACCCTGTGTGCTCTCTGACCCACTTTGGGAACTGTTTTTATGACATATGGAGTATGGCTGTGTGCCACTTTTACTTTTTTATAGTGGAATTGAAACAGTCATGTATAATACTCACTTCTTCTCTTATTTTTTCTTTTGCTATTTAGATGAATGGATTAAGTTTGATGATGATAAGGTCAGCATTGTAACACCAGAAGACATCTTACGGCTTTCTGGGGGTGGTGACTGGCATATTGCTTACGTTCTACTCTATGGGCCTCGCAGAGTTGAAGTAATGGAAGAGGACAGTGAACAGTAATCTTCATTTTAGCTATTTATGCTTAGATGTGAAATAAATGTTATTTGTTGATCATTTCTATAATCCAGAACTTTAGAAGAAGACACTTAAGGTGGTTTTTATGTTTTCCTTTGGAACAAGGAGGCAGTAGACCATGCCATGCACTAATCTGAAAATTACAGAAAAAATTACCTTTGCATTGCGTTTAAAACTTTTCTCTCGCATTATTTGAAAAAATTAAATCAAAATGCCTTTCAGCCATTACCTTCTGATTTTTCCCCCTGCCCATTATTAGTCTAAGATTCAGCATCAGATGTTTATTGCACACCTGTTACATATTATTTGTTCTTGCATGGTTCAAACCACCATTCAGTAGCTGCCCATCCTTTGCCTTATCTAACAAAACATTTTCCAGGAAGGTGGAAAAGGAAGTGTTGCTCTCTCATTGTGTAACTTAGTGCTGCTGTCTGCATCCCATTGAAAACATGGGTACAATCAAGTATTTGGCCAGCCTGATTGTTGCTGGCTTTGCATAACTTTAAAATAAATTGTGATCAACAGTAGTACATTTGATTATACATTTATTATTGTGTTTCTCTGATGTACTATGGTTTGTACATTTGACTTTGCAATGGTTTTGTAGTAATCAACCTTAAAATGTTGACAAGCTCTGGTTGCTTATTTTTAGAAAATGAGGATATTTAATAAAAAAAAAAAAAAGAGAGAGGGATTAACAGCTTTTGACCTCAACTCTTTTGTCTTTTGAGTGTTGGAGCTTGGCTGAAAATTCAGATATGTTTACTACTATACAATTTATACAGATGGTAAATATTATTGTGCAGTTTGTTAAGCATCCATTTAAAATGTTATCTTCTCTGCCTGCCCATAACCCATTTAAAGAGAAATACAAAACTGTAAAGTAATGGATTTCCTTGGATGCTGAATGCAGTGATGATTGTTATCAGACTTGTTTCTTGGCTCAGCGGGTGATTTTTTTTTTTTTACTCCTGTTAATTCCCAAAATCTTGTCCATTTCAAAATTTACTATCAGTGATTTTATGTAAATGGTAGAAAACACCAGGAATATTAAGAATTTCAGTGTGATAGGTTTTTTACATTTTAATACATGCTAGCCAGTTATTCATCTTTGTTCAGGAGCCTGGGCGGATTGATTGCTAGGGAAAGGATAAGGAACGAAATGTTAATTTGCCTTGACTTTTGAGTTAGAAATCTGTAATTAAGTTTGAGGGATTATCATGACATCTCATATTTTTGCTTATGTTGTTTTAATGCTCTACAGAGCACAACACTGATAACTATGATTGTTAGAGAATAACGGCCATTTTCCTCTCAGATCCGAGCAGTGTGATGTAATCTGAGGACACTAGGGGATAAAATAAGCAATTCAGGGAAACTTGTACATAGCTTCCTCATCTACATTTTGATTATTGGCAATCAATACTTTTTAATTGGGAAGAGGTGTTGAATAGAATGGGGAGGATGAGACCTTAAGAACTGTAATGATTTGTTTGTACGATGCCTATAACTTTGCAAAGCCTTTTTTATTGTCTCATTTAGTCCTAATGATTTTATGAAGACATAAATTTAGAATTAGGATTCAGACTTCTGATTTGCCTAATGTTATAGCTACTAGACCAGATGAGGTAGGTTTAGAACAAAATATATAAGCCTATAAAAGCCTTGTATGGAATGTATTAGAATTATAAATTGTAATTCTTTGTCATCATAAAAAGCTTGATTTCATTTTATTTGATCTAAAAAAGCATTATTCCAAAGATATTTTTAAAGTAAAAATGGGATTAATACCAGTGTTGTTTTAAACTAATGAGGCTGTTACACAATTCAGCCTTGCATGTAAGGCCTTTGAGAATGGAGAGTAGGGAAAAAAAAAAAAGGTCTTGATTCCTGAATGTGCCTTATATGCTCTGCCACTAACACTGAGGCCATTTCAACATTAGAGTTGTGCTGATCACTGCTTGACTAGCTACCGAAGTTAGGCCCAAGCGAGACTTTACGATGTAATTTGTGCTGTGTAGCTTCTTGGGATCCAAGTCCATGATGACCTGCTCTTAGAGCTCTGAAGGGAAATGCTTATGTCAGACAGGAAGAGTAGCTGGTACCGTCTTCAGCCATCACTAAATAGTGCTTTGCTGTGTATAGTAGGATGCCTTCATTATATATCTCATTGAATTTCACAGTAATATAAAGTAATTTAAAAACTTGAGAGGTCAAATAACTGTCTTAAGGCTAAAAGAACAAGATATTAAATTTCACCTATTTTAGAGGCCAGTAAAACATTTTCTGTAATGGGCCAGACAGTAAATAGTTGAGGCTCTCAGGCAACTACTTAACTTTGCTGTTGTGGTGTAACAAGAACTATAGACCATACAAGTGAGCATGCTGGGTGCCATGCCAGCACAATTCTAATTGTAAAAACTCGGGGTGAGCAGACCAGTGTTTGCCAATCCTCTATTCTAAAGCAAGAATACAGCAGTTGTGGTTTTAGAGCATTATTGTGGGATTTCAGAGTAGCTGAATTTTGTAACTACTAACAGCACACAGGAAACTAATTTGGTATAGGAAACAACATATCCCTAAACAGTACATATTTAACTTCATATAAATACATTTATTTAACAAAAATATATTTTGTGATCTTGAGGTCACTTCATTTTGGCCATTTTCCCAATCTGCATTCCCACCTCCCCTTAACCTGAGGTTTGAGCCAAATAATGCGTTTTGTTGTTTTTGGAGCACCAGCCAACTGTACAACAACTGTTATAAAAATGTTTATTGTTTACCAAAACCAGTGGACCTCTTATCAAATGCTGCTTGGTAACAAAATCTTATCACAGTTTTAATAAAAAAAAAAAAAAAAAAAAAAAAAAAAAAAAAAAAAAAAAAAAAAAAAAAAAAAAAAAAAAAAAAAAAAAAAAAAAAAAAAGAAAGAAACTAACTACTTGTCTCATTGTCATTAGTTAGACTTTCTGCAAGGTCACTTAATCCAGACTTATTCAGCGCACTGATCAGAGTCTCGGGCGTAGCATGTGCTCCCTCCTGATCTTGCCAGGCCACCAGGAGCTGCTTTGCTCTCATCTTCACGTCTTCACTGTCGCACTCAATCTGCCTAATTTCGGAGTCCTTCATTTCCAAGTAGGGAGCCAGAATCTTCCACTGTTCACCCAGCTTGTTGGCAAATACCTCTATTTGTTCCCCTGTTACAGGTTTGTCTCTCCGAACGTCAGGACCTAGAAAAAAACAAGAGTATAAACTATGATGAAACACAGTGATACGTGCAACCCTAAGTAGACAACAGAACTGGAAAGCAAAGCATAATAATTATTTTTTATATTCCCCTTGGGTTGAATACTGCTCTTATAACAATTATTAAATAATAGCTAAAGTTGTTAGTGCTATATAAAAGTTCTTCATTAAACTGGCCACTCCCCTTCTAATCCATAATAAAAAAAGAGGCATTGATCATCTTCAAATATATGTTCCTTCACTTTTTTAAAGTTTCCCTATAGGATGTGTGTGCACATTAGGGAGAGGGAAAGTGAGAAGTTGCCCCCAAAGGGGAAGGCCACACTGCAGTCCTTTCTCCAGTCTCTTCTTGGATATTGGGCACACAGGCATATACACCCAGCATGTTTTTTCCAACCTGCCTGGTCTGGAACTCAAACTATACAGGTGGTGATGTGGGATCCAGCTGCCTTAACCACCACACTACTGGCTGGTCCTTGTTCCTTCACTTATGTTTTTTTCAAAAATTATTTAATTCCTTTTGTTATTATTTATTAATCTAACCAGAGAGAGACAGAGAAAGGGAAAATGAGAAAGCAAGCTGTCAGGTCCAGGACTCGAACTGCGGTTGGCCATGTGGGAGTCCAGCATCTTAACTACCATATCACCTGCTGGCCCCTCCTTCACTTCTAAAATACCATCACTTCCAAATTTTAGAGCATAAAGTGTAATATTTTTAAAGTTACTACTAAGCAGTTTTAAAGATGTTTTGCCACAGGACGTGTGCACTTGCTAGAAAGAGACAGAGTGGGAAAGTGAGAATGGCTATGCCGTAATCCCTTCTCTTCCATGCACCATTTGGGATTTTGGGCACACATGCACACATGCCCAGTGTGGTTCAGGCTGCTGGTTTCGAGACTCAGACTGCAGTCAACCATGTGGAATCCAGCACCCTAGCCACCACACCACCTGCTGGCTCATTAAACAATGTTTTAAGTTTCTCATTTTAAGTCAGAAGCAGAGCTGAAATAAAATAGTAAAAGCTGAGAAGTAGATCAAATTAGATTCAATTCTTACTTTCATTTTCCTTCAGTAAAGCATCATTATCTTCCTCATCTTCATCCTCACCTGTTTTTATTTCTTCAGAAGGAGGCTAAAAATGAGAAATAATGTTTAAAAGCATGACAACTTCTCAAGTAAGATAAGTGGAGACTCTTTGTTTAGAAAGAGTGGTTGCAAGGTTCTGAGTACAGGGCCCAGCACCTGACCCCTGAGAGCTCTAAGTGTGTCAGATAAGGACCACAGTGGGACAGTCTTAACCCTGCAGAAGGAGTAAAGGAAAATGTGGGAAGAGAGGTGACAGTGACATGTATGGTAAAACGACTTGCAAATAAGGGTTTCGGAAAGATGGTCAGGGAAGACTGGGGAGCAATGGTGTCCTTAATACTTTTTGAATAACTATTAAAATGTTAGACATACAGTGTCATAATCACGGTATTATAGTCTGACACAAAGGGAAAACTACTGGAAAAGGGAAGAGGGTAGAGAAGCCAAGATCCCTATCCCTTCCCCTTAGACTCTACATAATGCATTGGCAAATAGGAAGAGTTCATGTTTGAGTTTACCAAGTACTGTGAACTTGTGTTAAACTACATGCTGTGTTGTGTAGAAAATTTTGAGTTTATCAGTTTACGTATTTCCTATAACTGTTTATTCAGATGCACTTTTGCTTCATTCTAAAACATGGGGGTTTGTGGATCACTGTTCTTTTTTTCACATGAAATCAGCTCTTTGCTCAAATACTAATAGAAATTTTAAAGAAGATATTGTCAACTAAAGCATATGAAAAATCGATGTTACTTACTGGTAATTCCTTGGCTAGCTTTATTACCATGTTTTCAAGATACTCTGGCAAGCTTTTAAACTGTTGGTTGGTTGGCTGGAAGAAATGAGGGCTTCTTCGTGCTAATAGTCTCAGAGCTCTCCAACCATAATTTGAATTGTTCACAGCCCTATAAAAGAGGTGTCAGCCTTGTAACTTACAGTTTTCCGTTTCTACATCCCTTCCTCCTTAGTTGTGTAATTACCGTGTGAAAATTGTATACTCTAAGGTAAATAGCACCATGTGTCATTCTTTTCACTCTATTGGGTCATCGGGAAAATCATGATACATTTTTGCACAGAAAAACAGAAAAATATGGCTTGACTTTTCTGACACCCTAAAAGTTCTGTTCCTAAAAAGCTTTCTCATTTTACAATTTACTTAGTAGTAGAAACGAAGAGATTTATAATGACTAAAAACCACCAGAGGCTAAAGAAGGTAGGCTCATATGCAGCAAACACGTTAAAAGTGGATATATATTTTACTTTTAACAAGTCAGTGATTATGCATGTACAGTACTGGCTAGATGTATGTGTAGGACAGGAGTCATCTACCAATTTATTTGGGAAAAAAATCCACGATAGGTGCCATTGTCCAGTACCATACTTGCAATGTCACTTGCAAATCTGAGTTTTAGAATACTTTATAATTCAACATAGAGTTTTGCTCATATTAATTTAACCAATATTTGTTTTTTTACTTATATAACATCAAATCTTCAATTTGCTTCATACCAACCTCAGTGCATAAAAATGGCTCACATATTAAGCATCCAATAGCCAAGAGAGTAAGTAGTGGTATCAAGAACAGAATCCATGACCGTGTGCTAATGAAGCAGAGCAACAACAGGTGGGAAACAATAGGTGAGACATAAACCCAGTAACCCAGACATCCTAAAGATAATGCTCCAAAATGCAAAGCTGCAAAAGAAACCGATACATAAATTTATTCCATTTGAGAGGTTTTTGAAGTCTTCCCACCCCCTACATTTGCAGACTGGCTATCTGGTTTATTTGTTCATCTCTTATAAAAGGAGCCTGAAATACATCTGGGACATGCTCATACAACTACACACCTGCAAAACTACTCTGGGGAGGGGAGTGGGCACTTTTCCCAAGTTAATGTCTGTTATGAGGCTTTGCCTACAACAGCAAAGAGACCTCCTCTCTGGCACAGCTCTGTTTCATGTATTTTTAATGATAGGTTTATCCCTGAAGGAGGGGAGAGACGGCATGTACACGTGCATCACCCCTTTCCCTAGTGCTTCAACTCCCTGGGATCCTGGATGCTAGCATGCTTGCCTGACTTGTTTTCAGGCTGACCTGGGGATATCCAAACCTGTGGTTAAAAATGATATCTAGCTTTGCAGGGTACAGTTTAAACAATTTTATTCTTTTAAGTATTTTCTAAATTCCCTATCAGTTTTACTGATTTCTTTATTCTCCACAAAGCTATACCACTCAATTTCTTAAGCCAGTCCTAGAGAACTACCACTTTATGAATGAATCTGCCAGGGCCAGCAGGTTAAACGTGCTGGATTCCCACATGGCTGACCATGGTTCAAGTCCTGGACCTGGTGGCTTGCTTTCTCCCTTTCCCTTTCTCTCTTTCTCTGGTCAAATAAAAATAAAATAAAATAAATGGAATTAAATAATTCTTTTAAAAAAAAGGATGAATCTACCTTATCTTACACAACAATGATATATTCTTTCAATCACCAAGTACTTATTGAGCCAGACACTCAAGAGTTGTGAGAGATGCAGGTGATACATATCCTGAACACTTGAGGCAGAGTAACACTAGTTAAGAACAGGGTTCTTGGGGCTGGAATGATTCTTGGTTCTCCCATTTTACTATTGGGCTGTCTGAAAAGTCATGACACATTTTTGCATAGAAACACACAGAAAAATAAGACTTCCAACAACCCAGTAGTTGAGGACTCTGAATTACTTACCGTCCAAGTCTGCTTTCTCAAGCTAAAATGATACAAGTACATAGAGAGTACCTGACACAGTAACATGATGTGTTGGCAAGCATCATTACTGATAAAGACAGAGTATAAGAATTTCAGACAGTGGTAAGGATTACAGATCAGAACTTTGGAGAATGGTAAGTGCTTTGAAATAAACACCACAGGAATGTATTGTAGGGGCCTTGGAAGGGGATGAGCTCTTCAGTCAGGCAGATCTGGAAGAAGAGGGAGTTGGGGGGAAGGGTGGCAAAGCAAACTGGACAGAAGGCAAAGGCCTTTGAAGTGAAGACGAGATATGGGTCTGGTCGAGTTAAAGCAGAGAAAAGCCAAGAGGAAAAAGGGTTGGAGTTGCAGGTGAGCCAGACCAAGGAGGGTTTTTAGGACCCATGGAGTAGTAGAATAAGTACTCACTATAAGACTTTAAGCAGGAGATTGGACTTGTGCATTCATTTATCTTAACTGCCAGAAAGCCTGTGTATTCATCAGAGCAAGCACCTACTGGGGTGTGGTCACATGCAATCCCTTTCCTCCATTACTTTATTTGCTGTAGGGTGCGTGCACTTACAGGAGAGACAGAGGGGCAGAAAGCGAGAAATCACCCCCCGGGGAGGTGGCCATGCTGCAATCCGTTCTCCTCCAGTTTCCTCTCAGGATTTTTGGGCTTGCACACATACGACACGCCCAATGATGTAACCATCACGCCATCTGCTGGTCCTCTCCTTGCCTCCATTTCTACATCCGTCTGGATTTTGGACATACTCAGCATGTTTTTCAAGCTGTCAGGGCCAGAATTTGAAGTCGTTGGCCATGTGGGATCCAGCTTCCTATACTAACCACTGTGCTACAGGGCTGGCCCTGTGCATTTACTATAAAGCTTACTGGCTGATGCACTGCATAGAGAAGTGACCACAGTTAAAGACTAGTAGTTAAGAGGTCACAGTAACTAACAACTAGTCACAGGGTCACCCTGGTCATAAAGACCAAGTGCTATCTCTAAGCTATACATGGTTCAAAGGGACCATTTTGTTTCTTCCTCACCCTAATTCTGTGCAATGGGTACTACTACTATTTAACAGATGAAGAAAGGGGCATAGAGGCAGGCACCTAGCCAGTGAGTGGTAGGAGTAATCAGAACCGTTGCACTCTGACAGACAGCCCTTGCCCTTAAAGCACTATTCTAATGCCTATGTAAAATAGGAGACTGGTGGCAACTAGAAGATTCTAGAGAAAGAAGGTGAGACGTCCTGTAGTGACTCCAAATTTAGGCAGATGAGGAAGAACCTCCAATGGAGACGGAGGTGGAGTAAGTCATAGGTTAAAAGGACTAACAATAGGAGAAAGTAGTTTCATGGACTGCAAGAGAAGCAAAAGTTACACTGGTCAACTGGCGAATGCTGCTGAGAGGTCAAAAAGAAAAGAGGTGACTTCAATTAGAGCCATTCAGAGGAGCGACGGGGAAGATGGTACAGCTGGAACAGGCAGATGAGCAAACGGTTAAGTGATGAAATGATGGCAATAATTATAATGGCCATGAAAAGATAGTGTGCTTTGAAGGGGAACAGAAAAGAGGTGATGGCTGGAAGAGGTGGGGTCGGGGGAAGATTTCTTATATTTTTAACAAAGGTGATTTCAAATCATGCTTATTAGGCAATGGGACTAATCCTTGAAATCAGAATGCATAGTAATGTGAGCCATAGACTCACCTATGAGGAAAAGTCCTGCTTTACCTACTGCCTCCCTTAGTAAGTGTTCTCGTATACACAATTCCTAAGGAAATATACTGGAGAAAATTTAAATGAGTTCATGAGAAAGATTACTTACTTATATTCATTTTCAACCATGTTTTCTGGGTCTGCCTGTTCAATGGCTTCTTCAAAGAACTCCTCCAATGTTGGCATGTACTCCCTGGGCATTATAAATAACTAGTGAGGATCATATATATTCATACTAAGTACTTATAAAGTGGTAGCAATAGAAGAGTCTAATGGTACCCATACTTTAGAGTTATATTACTTAGGAACTCAGACTTCTAAGCAGAGAAAAGTCTAAAACTAAACTCAAAAGGGACAATAAAAAGGGTAGTCTTATATATGTTATTTACTATATATGATGCAATATACATTATATTATATACCATAATATATGAATATGCCGCTATTCATAGAGGACAATCGGGGGTTTAATTTGAATTTTACCAGCAAACATGAAATTTTCACATCATGTCCCCATCCATGGGTAGTTTCCTTTTAAAACTGCGATTAAACCAAAACTAATAACTAAGCCATAAGAGTTTAACTTCTAGCGCTTATTTTAGATTGTTAGCATGGCAGCATGGTTGGCTTTTAACTGCGTTAAACATTATAGGCTTGTGAGGTTCATCTGGAGAGTTTATTGTCTTTTTTCTTCTGTATGTCAAATAGACAAAACTGAGGATTCACAAAAGGTCCAGCTAGAGCTATCATGAACAAATGTTTTTGAATGATAAATTATCAGTTTTAAAATTATTATATATATATATATTTTTTTTTTTTTTTGAGAGGTTTTTGCTATAGGGAGCGTACGCTCACCAGGAAGACAGAGAGACAGACAGTGGGAAATCACCCCCCAGGGGAGATGGCCACGCAGCAATCCCTTCTCCTCCATTCTCCTCTCGGGATCTTGGGCAACCGCACACACTCACGCCCGTCCTGAGTTTAAGCCACCGGGTCCAGGACTTGAACTGCAGTCGACTACATGGGAGTCCAGCGACATAGCCATTATGCCAACTGCTGGTCCCTAAAATTATTATATATTTCAAGCCATCAGGACTGATAATAACAAACATGTCTGTATCCATATCCCCAGGCTTTTGTTTTAGAGTTTTAAAAATGCTACAAATACAACTGAGACCTTCCTAATTTTATTATTTTTCTTCAGAGAGCCACTGTTCACAATTGGGTACTTACCACTGCTGTGCCTTTTAATAAAACGTAAATGTGTATTGTTTTGAATCTTTTCAAACTTGCTATTAATGTAATCCTGTTTGTATCCTCTACAGCTTCATTTTCCTTAAGTATGCCCATGATGATAGAGTCGTTCTCATCCATTTCCTAATGCTGTATACATAGTATTCCATTTTACAAACGAGTGGCAAATTATGCATACCCTGTTGATATTTAGGTTCCCCTTTTACTCTGAAAATGCTAAACAAATATTCCTGTACCCTTCTAGCACAGATAAACTAGTTTCTTCAGGTACTGTGGCCTTCAAACTGCTACCGCAACCCACAGTAAAGAATTCATTCTATAAAGTAATCTAGTGCACACATATATAACCAAGTACGTGTACAGTATAAATAAAGCTAATTCTTCACAAAAGTGCATTTTCCTTTTCACTAAAAGCTAGTTAAAATTACTACACTGACTTCACAGATCACCAGTGACTCAACTTGAAGTTTTGAAAATAGTATTTTAGGATCAATAAATGTAGGACTGAAATGACTAGGTCTTAAAGTATGTACATCTTCAACTTTCAGATATTGCCAAACTGTCTTTCCAAGGGGCTGTAGCCCTGGCAAATTATTTTTATCCACAACTATTAAAAAATCTTGGTATTTAAAAATTATCGAATCTCTTAACTTTGAAACTCACTGCTATGGTTTTTACCTGTACTTCCAGTTACTACTGAAACTGAGTATCTTCTCATAGGTTTATTAAGGTTTCTACTGCTGAAACTTAAGATAGGCTTTTGTCCCTTTTTCTACCGTGTTGACTTATTCTTATAGATCTGGAAAGAGTCTAATTATATTTATCAAACATGGTAGAAGTTTATCTTTTTTCCCAGTTAATAAACAAACAAACAAACTTCTGGTTTGTTGATACTGTTATTTGCTATCTGTCTTCCTCATTTTCAATTTTATTTCCCTTTCTACTTAAGTTTGCTCTTTTTCTGACTGACTCAATGCTGGACTCTTAGTAACTCAGTTAATTTTCAGATTTATTTTTTTAAAATGTAAACATTTAGGCTATAAAATTTTTTCTTTTTAAAAAGATTTTCCAGATGGCATGTGTGCTCAGCAGGCAGAAAGAGAAAGAGAGAGAGAGAGAGAAAGCACCCTCCCAGAGGGAATGACCACACTGCAATCCCTTCTCCCCTCCTTCCTTTGGGCACACACACACACACACACACACACACAAATGCAAATGCCGGGTATGTTTTTCAAACTGCCAGGTTTAGGATTTGAACTGTGTGGTCATCCATGTGAGATCCATCCAGTTCCTTTAACCATCAGGCCACGGGCTGGCCCAAATTTTCTTCTGTGTTCTGAATTAGAGCACCAAGTATAAATAAAGTGTTTTTGTTAACATTTATTTCTGTTTTCTAATACCCATTATCATTTTTTTGACTCAGGAGATATTTGGAAGTGTGCTTTAAAAATGAATTATCTTTAAAAATTTTTTTTATGTATAAATAAATTTTTAGTTTCTAGAAGGCCGAGCCTATTACTTTTTTTTTTTGGAGAGGGTTTTGCTATAGGGTGTGTGCGCTCGCCAGGCAGACAGAGACAGAGAAACAGAAAACAAGAAATCTCCCTCTAGGGGGGACTGGCCATGCCACAATCCCTTCTCCTCCATTCTCCTCTCAGGATCTTGGGCATGCACACACATGCGCCCAGCGTGAGTTTTAAGCCACCGGGTCCGGGATGCGAACCGTGGTCGACTACATGGGAGTCCAGTGACATAGCCAGTACGCTAACTGCTGGTCCCGCCTATTAATTATTTTAGTAATCCCTCAATATGGTATATTAAGTTTTCTGCTACCAGATTTATTGAAAAAAGTTTGTAAAAATTCCTCTACTAGATAGCAGATTGGTCGTTCCTCATTCTGATTTGGTCAAATTCTTGAAACATGTATACCTTTCCAGAGAAGTTTAGGGTATATATTCTGACGCTTTTTCTTTTACCTTTACACAATGCTCATTTAAAGAATCCTTTTGGCTTTTAACACTCTTCTTCTGTTATCAGCCTACCTATGCCTACTGCATCTTTTTTTTTTTTTAAATTCTTTTAGTTTCAACCTTCCCATATCCTTATTTTAAAGTAAATTTCTTGTAAATAATATGTAGGTTTTAAAGTACAATACCAATTTCTGTCTTTGAACCATAGTGTTTACTTATATTTATTATATATTAGGTTATTGGGAAAGTCATGACATGCTTTTCTATGCAAAAATGCATCATGACTTTCCCAATGACCCAGTATTTGAATTTTACCCTACGTTTTGTGCTTTTTAGCACTTGTTTCTATTGTGTTTTTCTCCTCTTCCATCTCCAATTTGATTGCTTGATTTTCTGTATTTACCATTTTTCCCGAATTCTTTAAAAATTATGTATTTTATTTCTTTTACAAATTTCACAATCATGCTTGATGCAAAAGTCCAGTTATTCATGATATCTCTTCTTTATATCTAACATTCCTAAATTCTGATCACCCCTTCTGGTCTTATAGGTAATTTTTAGCAGGAACATTAGTCCTACCTTTTTACAACACATAACCTCTAATCGGTAATTAATACATTTTCTAGACTTCTGAAATACTCAGACAAGAAGCCATTTTAAATCTGAGGTGTGTCCTGGTGTGTTCAGGGAAGCTATGCTCTAAAAGCCATCTTCTAGACTCCCGAAATATTCAGACAAGTAGAGGACCAGGAACCACTGCAGAGGCACAAGAAATATGAGAAACCAAGAAAATCTCTCTTCCCCTAAGGAAAAGAACAATCCCTCATCATCTACAGACAGTATAGCAGAAATTGTAGAAATGTCCGATAGAGAATTTAGAATACTCATAGTGACAAAACTAAATGAGATGCAAGAGCTGAGAGACAATGAACTTCTATCTAGAAGATGCAGAAGAGACAAGTTCCAGGAGGTGAGGAAGTTCTTGGATGATCTGAAAGAGGAAATATACCCCATAAAAAAGAATCACATGGAGCTATTAGAGATGAAGGCTGCCATTCAGGAAACCAAAACTCCCTCTAAAGTATTAAAAGCAGATTAGTCCATGCAGAAGATTGAATCACAGATGTTGAAGGCAAAACCTCTGAATTAGTAAAAATAACCAAAAAAAATCCCTGAGAAAATAACCCCCCAAAATGAGAATACTGTACAAGAAATACTAGATACCATTAAACACCCAAACATTTGGATAATTGATGTCCCAGAAGGTGAGGAAACTAATAAGGGCATTGATAATATCTATTCCATGAAGTCCTGGAAGAAAACTTTCCAAATCTAGAGAGGCATTCCAATATCAAGATCCAAGAAATACAAAGGATTCCTAATAGAATCTATCCAAGAAGATCTTCTCCAAGGCATATCACAGCCAGATTGGCAAAATCCACAGATAAAGACAAGATACTAAAATTGGCAAAAGAGAAATGTCAGGTTACTTATAAAGGTTATCCCATCGGGCTAACATCAGACCTCTCATCGGATACAATGTGAGCAAGGAAAGAATGGGAAAATATATTCAAAGTGTTGAGTGAAAAACAATTTCAACCAAGAATACTATACTTGGCAAGATTATCCTTCATATGGAAAGAAAAGATAAAAACATTCTCAGATAAACAGAGCTGAAAGAATTTGCCAATAGCAGGCCCACTCTTCAAGAAGTTCTGAAAGGAGTGCTCTACCAGGAAAACTAAAGACATGTACAGAAATAAGAGAACAAAAAGCAACAAAGAAAGCGATCAACTTAATGCTAGGGACAAGAAATATCAATAATAATGCTGAATGTTAATTTCCAGGATTTAAACAGGAAGATTGACTACAGTAACACCGCAAATTCAACAGAAGAGAGATTGAACATAAGACTGAACTGTGAAATAGAATTTCATGACTTTTGAGTAAAACATTACTGATTTTCTTTTACTATGCTTTGTTTTCCCAATTTAAGGATTTTGCTTTCTTTTGAGCTGTTGATAGGTTCAGTAACTTGTTAATATATTTCTTGTTTCTTTAAATGGAAACATAAAAGACTTTTCTTCCTTCCTGACCCCTCTGGAATTGGAAATATTTAGGAATATTCTTATTTTGTGGCAGAAGGGTTATTTGCAAAAATTCAATAATACCTGTTGCCTTGAATCAGAAATTGGAAATACTCATTATTGGACAGGGCTTTGACTGGAATGTCATATCTGAAGATTAAGCAGAAAACTATGGAACTAAGGTAGATCTCGAGTAAGCCAACAGAAGCTCTTGGAAAGATGACCTGGCACCATAAACAGTTCTGCCTGGCAGAGAGGATTAGAGAAGCTACATGAAAGAATTCCTACCATAAAATAACTTGGACTTTTCCAGCCCAGCATTGTAATCAGTAGAGATTGTGAAAGAGCAATTACAACCAGAGAATTATCTTGCGGAAGACTTTGAAGGAAGAATATGAGACTGATCTTTGCTTGGAGATGGTATATCACAGAATACTTGGTAGGCGAGCTGATTTGAGGTTTATGTATGACTTGTGTATTAGGTATTTGCTTTTCAACACTTTGAGTAGTTGACTGTCTCTGTTGTTACAGAGTCTCAAATAAAATTATAACAAATATTTTGAATATTATCTTTAAATCAGTGTTTTAAAATTTTGAAAGTGGTTTATTAACTGTCAAGAGCTATGGAGTATGAGCAAAAATTTTTTGTATGTAAAGTAAATGTTTATGGGAAAATGTAATAATAAATAAATAAATGATAAAAAAGAAAAAAATAATTAATGCATTTTATATGTGTGTGCTCATCACAGAAAGCATGTCTTTTACTCCGGAGAAAGTGAAAGCACATGTTTCATAACAGAGTGTGGTCATGCCACAGTAAGTGTTCCTCCATTCATCCTTCCTATCAGGATTTTGAGCATGCATGTACTCACACACAGGCATATGGTATTTTTCAAGCTATTTGTGGGAGAATCTGAACCATGGTCAGCCAGCCATGTGGGACACAACTCTCAATTAACAGTGTGTAACCACTACGCTAAGGAGCTAGCCCAGTATTACTATTTTATATAGCGAATGCCTTATAATAATTCAGATTTCTTCATGTTTACCAACGTCTTTGCCTGCCCAATAAAGCTTCTTGAGACACTCCTAAGTTCAGCTTTTTTTCTGTGACAGTTTTCTATGTTTTGGGGGGGAATGGTTGATAAAATTCTCACATTTACTCTGAAAATATTAATTAGTCATTCTATGACATTTAACTTGTTATACTACAGAATTCTGGGTTGATACTTTCAACACTCTGAAGCTCCCACCCCACTATCTTCTGATTTCCTCTTTTATTCCTGAAATCAGCATTTAGTTTAATTTTGATCTTTTGTAAGTTGTCTTTTTTTCTCTCTATCCGGATTTTAGTATCATGTACAAAGATACAGATTTATAGGTTTATCCTAATTAAGGTCTATATTTGTTGAACCTAAGAATTCATGCTGATTCTGTCATTCTCTTGATTACTGCTTCTCATTCCTTATTATTTCCTTCTGCCATTAGGTATGTGTTGGATCTTTTCATTCTATCCTTTCTAACTCACATTTTCTATCTCTTGATTCTTCTGTACTGCTTTCTGGGTGATTTTTCTGTCATTAATTAATTCTTACTTTATCTATGTCTAGTCTGCTATTTAACCTGATTCTTGAGTTTAGTCATTTCAATGACTGCATTTTCTCATTAACAGAAGTTTTTTTTTTTTAATTTGCCTGATCCTTTTTGATAGTTTTGTGTTCCTTTGTTTTTAATTCCTTGTAATTATTGTCTTACTTGTCTAATATATACTTACTTTGCAGCCTTTAAAACTTTTATTATTATTACTTTTAAATTTGTTATAGAGCACATGCACTCACCAGAAAAAGAGAGAGAAAGTTGCCAGGCCTAGGACTCGAACTGTGGTCACCCATGTGGGAGTCTAATGCTTACCATCATGCCATCTGCTGGCCCTATTTTACAGCCTTTACCTGATGGTTTTATTATCTGAAATGGCTAACTGCTGTTGCTTGTTATCTCTGCCCATTCTTACTCATGGTAGATTGTTTCACTGAATTATTAATAAGTTTGGATGGTGAATTACCTGCAGACTTATCTGTGGGAATCTTATGGCACTTGAGTGGAAGGTGTAACCTCCAAAAATTTTTATTTTCAGTGTGAGGCTCTCTTGTAGTCTTACGGTTTGAATTTATCCTGGCATATTTTCCTGTTACCCACACCTCAGTAGGGTCAGACAAGCTTCCTTGCTTCCTGTATCAGTAAGCATGTTTCTCCCCTCAATCCTATTCTGCCCTTCATTTACAGATAGTACAGTAGTGCTTCAACAGTTTCAGCTTTACTAAGAGGAAACTCACTCACAAATTCATACGGGCCCTAAGCCTTATCCTTTGTCATTTTGTGATGTATAAAAACCCAGGTTCCCCAAACTGGGAACCACCTGCCCTACTCCCCAGCAAGATGCAACTACATCAGTTCATAGGTATAATCTTCTTGGTTTTTGTTCCTATTTTTTTTTGTGCATCTTTATTTTCTTGTTATTTTCTAATTTTTAATCAATGTATCTAGGTGTTTCATGACAGGAAGCCACAGTTTGCTGTGGCAAAAGTCAACCTCAATAACTTTTAAATTTCTATTGAGCTGTAATCATAACTATGAAAAGTCTCCATTGTATATTCTCCTTAACATTTGAAAAAAAAAAAACAAAAAAAAAACACTTATTTGAAAAATTTTAACGTTACCGTGTCTCTGATTTACAAGCTTCCATATTATCAGGACAGAGATTCCAAAGTCTTGTTAACTCCTCACTGCAAAACAGACAAATGTGTTTTACAGACCCCACTCTCATATGCCTCAAAACAGAATAGAAAAACAATGTAATGTAAAGAGTGGGTCTTGGTGGTAACAGTATGAGTTTCACAATTCTCCATAATTTTCTATTTAAGTATGTATTCTATGACAATCACTATAATTAATGTAAGCAACTCCTAGTGGGGCATGATCATTCTGATATCCCTTCTCCATCCTGCTGGGATTGTGGGCCCAGCATGTGTTTCAAGCCACTGGGGCTAGGACTTGAACCATGCAGTAAGCCATGTGAGATCTGGTTCCCTTAACCATTGGATTATGGGGCCAGCCTAGTTTTTTCTAAAAATATTAAAGCACAATACAAAGCAATGAACAGTTAAGTGGAATGCAAGAGAACTACAGGATTATGATATGCTGTAGCAAGTAGGGGTGAGCTCTAACAATCTAAACAATTCTAGTATTTGGGACATGGAAAAAATGACATAGCCTAAGAAATCAATTTTGGAAGCTGGAGACAGAAAGATTTATTTAGTTGCAGGAATCCACAAAAGGAGTACTTTAGATAGGCAGGGTGTACTTTGCTTTATTCACTCATGTATGTTCCAAACATAAATTCACATATTTGGATGTAAAAAACTGGAGAGCTATTTAGCAACATCTTAAAAAATATAAAAACAACTGAAGATACTTCACATATGACAAGTTAACTTACTTCCCCATCAGAATTTTTTTGTTGGGTCCTTTCCCTAGGAAATCTTCTGGTGCTGTTCTCTTCCGTACTACTCTTGCAGGCTTGGTATCTGATGCTCTGTGGGGAAAACACACACTGTTTTGGGAATTACAAATGGATGGCAAAAATGGAAGTTTGGTACTGTACAAGAAAATGTAGCTATTGCTTTCTTTGAAAGCTTTATATTATGACAGAACACTCATTAGACAGAAGATAAAAAGGCTATATATAATACGGCAAATGACAAGAAATAGATACAAAGACTTTTTTCAATAATTGATGTAGATGAATTTGTTCTGGGAACTTAATGGTAAGAAATTTGAGATAAAAAATACAAACAAGTAATTCTAAATGGTTTTATAGAGTTCAACTTCCATTTTTTTATGTGAAATACATATATACATAGCTGTACATGATGTAAAAAACACATCAAACTATATTTTGAAATGCCTTTGAATTTCTTTTGAAGAGTATGTATTTACCTTTCTTTTACAAAACTTGGACAGCCTTCATTTTTCCATGAATTCCAGTTTTCTTCAGTGTTTAATATATGCTGGGAAAACAACAAAAGAAATTACATTTGTTTAGTGGAATCCTAGGGAGTTTTATTTGAGCTAAGAAGACTATGTAAATATAAAACACATACCTCTACCATCTTTGAAAATCTTTCTCCATCGGGAGGGTTTTCAGATAGTAGCTGTGATTAGAAAGAATATACTAAGCTTTCAACAACTTTCTGCATCATAGGAGTGGTTTGCAGGCAGAGAACCAAGAAGTGTTTGTGGTCTTGTACCTGAGCTTAACTTTATCCTTATTTTCCTATTTGGGGCTGAAACAAAGAAAATTCTAAATTTCCATTTTTTTCAATCATGGGTTTGTTGCGTGTTGAACTTACTTGATAGACTGATTTTGTAGTATCTTCAATCCAGAGTGATTGTTCATCAGTTAAAACATAGTTTGAACTAGGGAACAAAGCAATAAAAGCATACATGAGTTACAACAATGTATATTCAATTTCAAGGTTTACTTATAGTCTTGAAAAAACACAAGGCATGTAACATAAGTAAACCATACTGAACAGTGTCAAAAATTATCAAGATAAAAAGAGTTACAAATGAGAACAAAAGAGAAAATTTTTGCAACAAATAAACATGAACTCCATCAATCTAAAATAGAATACAACAATGTTCTATTTTTGATCCTGACACTATGATAAAATAAGGAAGAAAATATACTGCCTCCTCAAGATAACAAGACTAGAAATGAAGATGGGAAGGTATATAAAGAAGAATAAAATATTCAGTTAATTAAACTGATTAACTATGAATGTAATCATGTTTCCTAAAATTAGTTTTAATGTGACATGAAGACCTCTGTGACAATTTGAACATATTCCTATATATAATGCACAGATAGGCACATTACCTACATTCTTTAAAACTCTTTAAAATACAATAAATAACCCCCCCGAACCCCTAGAAAAGGGTGCAGACAAACTCAAATCGTTACGAACTGCCACTGAGCTCTGTGTACTTGGTGCTATAAAGCCATCCCATAAACACCGACAGACTACCATGGGCTAGAATCTGCGTGCTTTACATGCATTATTCATTGAATTCTCAGAGCTGTGTTTGCCTCTGAAACAGATTACTCAATGATTTGCCCAAAGACATGCAGCTTGAATTCAAACCAGATCTGATCCAAAGTCCTTGATGCTTCTACTAGGCTATACCAAATCTCCAAATTAGGTAGAAGGATAAGCAATAACATTTTGGCATGTTTACCATGTGATACCTTAAAATTTGAAGTCTGAAAGAGTTGGATTGAAGCCAGCAAGTAATAACACCAGGATTCAAACCCAGTAGGTGATGACGTCACATCCTTTATATAATTCACACTGCATGACCTGACATACCTAACATAACACTGTCTAATAACAGTGGGGTTCACTTCAATTACAGACAGGACAAGAGGAAATGGTCTGCTCAGGTGAAAGGTTTAGACAGGCAGTAGAGAACCTGATGAAGTTTTGTAAAACCTCCCGCAAAAGTGGCAATTCCTCTTTATTTAAAGATTTTCTTTGCTTCTTCCAGTTCTAATGTCTTAGCTCCATACTTTGTGAAAGAAATGTTATTGGTTCAGTCTGCATATTAGCTTTGGAGGAGGGGTAAATGAGATGAAAGGGCACAATCTCTTACCAGAGAGGGAAAAGGCAAGAGAGCACCTCCCATAAGGAATAGCCACATCATAATCTCTCTCCTTCATTATGCTCTCAAGATTTGGGCATGGAGCCGCGCGC